ACGCACCATGTCGAGCTCTTGGATCCATCCCCTTTGCGATGACCTCAAATGCATAAAACGTGTATGGCACTGTCGCCTGGCCCCGCCGCTGCTTGGAACCCCGTCTCAGATACTGGAGACACTTCTCACGAATAACCGAACCGCTCAAGCCGCCAGGCAGAAGAACGCCCTTGATACCTCGGAATGACTCGGCTGCGCGAAGTGGTGAAACAGACGTAATGCCTCGGCCAGCCCCGGGAATCTTTGAGTCGATGACCCGAAGGTGCTGCTCTCTGAGACTCTCGACGGCCCGTGAGTGATATAGTGGGTATCCTCTGAGCAGCTTGGATTCCCCGACATCGACATCAGCAGTCTCCCGTGCAGCAGCAGCAGCATAGCGTCGACGACCGTCTTGTCTTGCATCCACGGGATCGTTCGACGCGGCTGCGCGAGCGGCTTCATAAGCCTCCTCCATGCGGTCAGTGATCTCGCGACGCTTGGTGCGCTGCGCTGCCCGATACTTCTTCTCCATAAACTTATCGGTACGCTAGACGAACTCATGCGTAGCATCCAAGCGCTTCAGGACGTTGTACTGACGGCGATCTGATTCATCCAGCGCAGCCACAAATGTCTTCCGATTGAGGCTGCTAGTCAGTGTCCCCTTGGCACGTCCAAGAGTGTAGTCAGCCGGGTTCGTCGCGCGGGTGGTCTTTTTGATGACGCCGTCCCGTGGCGCACGAGGCTCTTTGTCAGCTCGAAAGACATGCTGAGCTCTTTCTTTGCCTTCTTCTCGTGCATCATCTGACTCCATGCTTGGCGCCGCAGTCCCTCTGTCTTCTCTCCTTCTTCGCCTGCCGACCCCCTGGCGGCCGGTTTCATGCACCTGGCGAGTCGTTCACAGAAGCGCAGACGAGTAGATCTGTGTGCCAGAATGCTGCGTGACGGTCATCAGCTCACCGTGCAGTAGAGCGGGGCATCGCAGTACAGCAGGGCATGGAGATCAACACGGTCGGTCGACCCCGCCAGGGCGTGGCATCGTCACTCCTTCGCCATCCGATGCCAGGTAGCAGGCTTTGTGCCGCTGCTGCAGCCGCAGGAGCCAGCACTCGAAGGCTGGGAGGGAAACAATGCAAGAACCTTGCCATTATGTGTGTGTATTGGGAGTCTAAGGCGCGTCCCCCTCGAAACATATACTGTACATGACATGGCACCCGGGCACGGAGTAAACGGAGAAACAAAC